TATATAAGTTAAGTTTATGAGTGAGTTGGGCTGAAATATTATTATAGTATAGAACGATCATGGATACTCACAGCGACCGACAGACAAAATAGAAAAAAAATCAGAGCTTTCGATATACACATATATTAATTAACAAAGAAAAACAAAAACACAATTATATACACACTTAATATCTTACCTTACACCCTGGCTCTGATAGACCTACTACCACCCTGATCCGCGGGAGCGATCCAAAAACCGATTGAAGATGGTTTTGATTGTGGCATTCGCCACTCCTACTTTTGAAGCAGCTTCATGTTGACCGAGATGTCACGCTAGGACAACACAACGTCACGTTCTGGCGCACCAACGGCTGGTTTTGCTCGATCGCAGGAGCGATCTTATCCGATTGAGAATCGGCGTGAAGTGGCACTCAAACCACTTCTTCACCGTCGGAGCACGCACACAGCATCGCTGCCACGTGACCGCAGTCTAACCTCAAGGACATAAGTCCGCAGGCTTCGTTCAACTAGTGACTCCAGCCATCGCGAGCCTGGCTCGCATGTGACACCGTCGTGGCGCCAAGTTTGTAGCACACGACACGAAGGTTCTCAAAGCCGTGTCCTCCCAGAACCCAACCCACTGGACTCTGTACAACGATAACGCTGTTATAAAAATAAAGGCGAGGCCCACGTGACGCTAACTACGTCACGAACATGCCAACAAAGCTTGTTATAAACCAGTGACATAGCTCTATAAAGCGAAACTAACCAAGCCTGTGTCTCCCAAGTTTCCGCGTTTCTTAACCTTTAACGGCCACTGTGGCAAGGAGCTGATCCACTGCCAGCGTAAACCCAAAATAAGACTGCCACGAGCACGCTGACGCTAATATCGTTACAATAGGAACTGAAAGTGCACTATAAAATAAGTATTACAAATACAGTCCAATTATCAAATTATAACAAAGAAAGTTAGAAGAGTTGACCGGGAGACAGTGGTTCAAGAGAGGAATCAATTGATGTCAATTAGCAGAGTTTGCACTCTTTATTAGCAATAAGGACAACATCATCAATAGTAAACATTTAAAACTACGTAGACATTCTAATTAAGAAAGGCAAATGAACAAAAAACCAAATTCAAATATTTTTAAAAATAAAACTTTTATTACAAATATTTGCCATGCATTAGTACAATAAAATTAGTTGGTCACAAATATTGCGATTTTTGCAATTACTCCACATCCTATAAGAAAAAGTATTACGAGACATGATGGCAGGTTAATTTTAACCACACAATGAAAAAGTGATATATGATCGAAATTGTGAATGGTTGAAACTTTATGAGCAAATGAAAATATAAAAAATTGATGAAAAGGACAGTATCCAAAAAATAATTACTTTTAGAACAGAGACTGGCCCGAAACAAACTCCATCAAAATCTTAGAAGAAGCTCAGATATATAATACAAGCCATATAACAGTTTAATCTTTTAAAATTTCATAACTTTCCTCCAATTTTATAAGTAAAAAATGATTGACGTAAGGATGATGTCTGCATAAATAAATAATATCTCCACTTGCTGACAAGCATATATGATCTTCTCTATACACTTCTTTAAGTTTTCCGGTCCTTTTGATAACTCTCATGATATCAACCTCCAAAGACAGAATATTAAAATCTCCCTGTTCACAGAAAAGTAATCAATTCTTGAAGACATTGAAAAAGGATAGCCTAGTGGTGATTTCTGAAAGAAAAAGGAAGATATTTTTATTAATATAATATTTATTATATTTAAGATATTTCATCTTCTAATGTTTTCCAAAATGTTCAATTCACAATTGCATAATTAATATAGTTTATTAATCAACACTGTTCCATTACTCTTTTTGCCTCCATCAGTAACACTTCAGTGCAAATAGAGATCAATTTGGACAGCTCTGTCTTCCATACATGAATGCAAAGGTAAAAGTTTTAGGTTTAATGCATTTAGCGATTTTAATTTGCGATTTTCCTTGGTTGGAAAAATCTAAAAAAAAAATTATTATAACACTATTTACCAATGCTAAATTCCTCATGTTAGTAATTAGATACATAGTCAGTATTCCTTTAATGGAAAAATGGTTCTTATATTTTGCTATATTATCAGCGATTCTTTTCTAATTTTTTGTCTTATAATTTCTTATGATATAAAACTTCATTCTTGAAATCTATAAAGTTATATAAAATCTATGAGATTGGAAGAGTCCCACACATGGAACCATATAATTTTTTCATTTTCATTAATTTGATAAATATTAAATTTGGTGGTACAGCACACCCCCCTACCAAACAAAAGAAAGTTTTCTCTGATAATTGAGTTATTCTACAAAGCTTAATAAATTCTTGAGCTAATTAATTTATTGGAATAAACATTTCCCTCAAAAAAGATTAAATACACTAACACCATCAAGAAGTTTTCCTCTTTTGATACAAAAATATAATTATAAAATTTACATTTGTGGTTAAGGATAATATTTTATTAATCATGGTTAAAATTCAGTGAGAAATGAAAATACTAAGGACATCAAATAATAAAAACAACACAATTTAATTGAGATAGATTATTAACATGACTTACATCTTGTAAATAATTCTTATCTGAAAGCAAAGGGGAAAAGTAAATAGTAGTACATGAAACAAATGAAGTAGAAGTATTCAGAGCGAACATTAACATAGTTGGCAGAGACTAAACCTTGGAGAAAAGTTGTTATCTGTCTTCAAAGGCAACACTGACTGATTTGGACGCTCCTTGGTTTCTTTTACTCTCTCTTTATTTTTCTCTCTCTCTAAACGTATCGACTTTATTCCCACAAATATCAATTTAGATTTAATTTATGGATTCTAGTAAAATTTAAAATATTATATTTTTTAAAATTATTTTCAGTTAAATATCACTAATTACTTACAAATAACTTTCTTTAAATACTTCACGGTAAGTGGAAAAGAAAAGGTTTAGAAATTGAAATTATAGATTAAGTATTAGTAGAATCTATTTCTACAATATTATTATAATGGTCCTAGCTAGAAGAGCATACAAAGAAGATTGAAAGAAAAGTATGATACATTGACAACATTATTTTTAGAATTAATTTTTTTGTTTTTTATACTGGACAGATACTGAGAAAAATCTTAGATAACGTATTCAAACTTATCAATTTTGGAAAGCACATTTATTTGTTTAACAACAAAATAATAATATCCAACTGTACAATGAATGCTCACAAATTAATACAAATTTAATCTTGTTATTAATTTTGAAAATAGATATTAAAATACACAAATAATATTCCCCCCAATATTTAATGAAATCAACTTTTCAATTTGTCTTAAAATGTAGAGAGAGGTATGACAAACTGGACCATTTATCTTAAAATGAGAGAGAGAGTGAGTGAGAGAGGGGGATTTCTAAGTTTACGGCGTTGTTTAAAAAGGGTGGAAGAAAAAATATTTGCACAGGTGCAACTTTATAATGAACCTATAAGAAAACTTCAAACCATTGAGAAAATTATAACACTTATACCCAAAATTGAATAATATAATTAGCAATGATATTCAAGAAAAAATAAAATAAAATTTTAATTTGAAAATTAAGCTGACGAGATCTACATAGCCTCAATTTAAAAAATCACTCCAAAGCAATATTACCTGAAAACCAATTAGTTAAATGTGTATTCGACAACAATAAAAGCGCTCCAAAATATTAAATGTCCTTTCCTGAGTCATTACAACAAAATTCATGAAATGAGATGATCTACTAACTCTTGAACTAACACCTCTACAACTTCAAGCAATATATTTTCAGTACAATCATTCCCTAATGTTTATGATATCATAACATCATCTTTACTTTCAGTTAATTTTATCATTTTGCCAATTATATATGAGTTGATGTAAATGATAATAATATAATTAATAATATCATAATATTAAATTATTACTAATTACTATTATCTACTATTACTATTATTCACTATTACTTATTTTCCTACAATCCCCAAAAAACACCCATTTCCTCACAAAATCAAGAAGTCAATCATTCAAATGAATTTTAGAAACAATAAGATGCATAATCGACCATTAAATTAGCACTGATTTTACTAATATGTTCATTATCTAATTATATTCATTTTAAATACCAGGATATATTTATGATTTTATGAGAAGAAATCTATCAAATCCTTGCACATAAATAAAACTACAGAATGTCATACGATGTAGATATGGTATACTAAGATTGATAAAATGATATGAGAAGATAAAGTCTTACCATTGCCTCAACCAGGTATGTATGATTTTTAAATACCATTAAATATAAATCAGCTCTCATATTTTAAGATAAACTTTTTTTACAATACACAGTCAACAATATTTTCTACAACAGCAGCATCCTATCTATTCCAAAACGGTCAAGAGTTTGGTTTCCCAATGAAAGCACCTATTCTCTCGTATCTATTTATTTCAGTAAACAATTTTTCTCAAATGTGTAAATTGTGTAAATGTGTAAAAATTAATGGAATTAATCAAATGTAATATACATAGATAATATCTTAACTACACCTACAAGTTCAAAAAATTAAAGGAATCTATATCAATGAAAATTTTATCCTACTTCTATTGTAACCATTAGTTTGATAAATCCTTAATCCTTGAATTCAAGTCTCTGGAGGAGCTGCACTGATAACTGGTGTCTTTAGGAAAGCCTTAAAATGTAAGAAGAAAATTGTTTAATCGACTTTCCTTTTAAACTTACATTCAACATTTAAAAACAAAACAAAAATCAATTATAACATCATCTAATGTTATTTACAAATGCAAACCAACATCATTTAATGTGGATTCCTAAAGAAGTAGAACACAGCGCCACAAGGAAGAACTCTGGAGTTTCAGGCCTTTCCAAGTTGTACAACACAATAAATTTGTATAATAATTCATCATATTCCAATAAAGGTAATTTTAAATAGTACAGTATAAAACTTAGTTTTACATTCAGCATAAAATACAAATTCTTTATCAAAGGAAAACACATCAAGGCAACTGAAACAATGACACTTTAAGGAGATAGATTCCACACAGCACAAGCTAGTTTTGAAACACAGCCCAGACATGGTTTCACCATCTTTCAGACTTGGTTAACAAGTCAACCATTTACAACGGACAGCTCAAGACATGGAACGGGCACTTGTTTTCATTCAAGAAGAAAAGAATTGAATTAAAAATTAGTTCCTTACAAATGAGGAATACAAATTATATTTGATATTACAAAAAGCTGAAATTAAAAAAAATCATTTTCTTCGAATAAGGATATATTGAGGAATAGATTGCAATACGTACTAATGGTACCACGTCAGCAAACACTTTCTCGCATTATTTGTGACGATTGTATAATTTTATAATACTACTTCCTCAGTGTTTAGCGCGCTGACTTCGCAGTTGGGAGATCCTTGTTCGATCCCCGGGCCGACCACCCTGACCGGAAATTTTCATGGTTTCCCTCGGTGATAAGGTGAATGTTGGGATGGTTCAAAAATGCCACGATCACCTCCCACCATCATCCCTCACCATTACCCTACCACTTCATTTCAACATTCCCTGCAAAGGGTAGGAGGTCCTTGTCATTAATGGAATCTTAGTTGGCTAATAATTATATTAATTGAAAATAATAGTCACTTATTTGTTACGAAAGAATGGTGAGCGTATTAACGTAAGTTTTGAAGTATCTGCAATTTTAAAAATTTGTTTTTTATTAACTTTTTTCATGAAACGAGTCATTCGTAAAGTAACCATTTTTGCCACAATGCGCTGCCCGCTTCGCTCCACCGCATTCAGCAAGAGACACTTCAAATTTACTGCTCCCTCCTCTTCCCCGCTAGACTCGATAGCGACGGCAACTCTCCCCGAGAGAAACGGCAGCGAGCTAGGCGGAATGGCGTCAAAAACTGCAAAAGAAACTATTAAATCAAAAATAGATATTTGAAAAACGCAAACGGAACTGTCTTTGTTTTGACACAGTAACTAAAATGGACATTCACAAGGAATAAGATCGCGCTCCCCATGCTTCAGAGGCAGTGGCCAATGGCGAGGCGTGAAGGGGAATGGAGGGGAAACGTATGCTGTAAGGAAGGGCTCACTACGGCCCTTGTCTCCGGCGAGAGAGCAGCGCCGTTCGGCTGTCGCGGTCATTGCTCGAGACTTCTGCGAGCGCAGTCTGGGGCGCAGTGCGAAGCGGTGAGTTGTGGGGAAAGCTCTGGGCAGGGCGTCGCCATCGTGTGGGCTCTCGCAGCCAAACCGCTGCCCCTTGAGGGCACGCTGAGCCCCCCCCCCCTGCATCGGCTGTACATAGGGAGTGCGGAAATGTCAAGGAAGGGCTGGTTCGAATGTTTCATGAATGTTCTCGTGATGTGTTCTAGTTGTCATTGTTGAGTACTTCCGAAGTTGACTTTTGTAAGTGGAAAACATTTAACTGTGAAGCTTGAATTTGTAAAAAGTTTGTTTGCATATTTTTAATATCTCTACTTCTGAGTAAAATTCAGTCAATTCTGAGTCAATTAAATACTTACTAAATGCTTGAAGGAAGGCAATCGATGAAGGAAGTAAAATATTCGTTCCAGCTCTTGCTTTGCAGACATGTAGTGGGGAATTGGGAGGGATATACAGCCACCGCCCTGCTCAGTTACACTTACCGGGGCATCCTGTGTTGTATTAGTCTAATACTTTTATCCTCAGGAAAATATCATTCGCCGTTGTGTAAATCTGCATTCAACCCAGGCACATCCCTTTAACCGAGCATACGCTAGGCGCGAATTTCTTGCTAGTTAGGTCTCTTTGCTAAACTGTGGGAGGACATTAGGGATAATTGTATTGGAAGTACCCCTGCAGTCTGGCTAGCTCAGAGCTCATCGTTGCTAACGCCCTTCACGGGTGTTGGAGGCGTTCTGGAATGCTTTCCTCTTAAAGGTTCGAGTTGCTTCTAATTTTCGGTGGCTGGCCTTCCTTCGGAGCAAAGCGTTTCAGAACGACCTTCCACCGCGGGAGTCCATGGAAATATCTCGAGACGTCGTTCTCGCACCGAGGGACTTGCGCAAGGAAAGTGCCTAGTTGTAGGTAGACATGACACAGGGGCGGGGAAGGTCATAACGTGTTCTTTTATTCCTTACGTCGAATTTTGTAGCCAGAAGTCTTCAAGAAATATTGCGAAATAAAGTGAGTATTGGACCACGAAATACTTAAAAATGTATTAAAACGTGCAATCCTTATTCTAAAATGGAAATTGCTTCCAGGTTCGTCCACTGCAGAAAATGTGCAAATATGAGGAATCAAAGAGTTGACTGCTTTCATCGACGGCAGAGGAATCTTAAGAACCGTTTGAACCTCTTCGTCGCTCAAGAATATTTCAGCGAAGAAGTCGGGACAGAGTTAACGTATCCGTTTCTAGGGACGGTTAACTGAGTGGTTTAGTTTATTAGATCACAAGAGATCGAGGGAGGGTGGGAGGGACAGACAGGATTACTAATCAGGGGCTGCTCTTGGTATTAGGAAGCTACTGTTACACAGCTGTCACAACAACTCAACGGAGCAACTTTCAACTGATATCTTCTCCGAAGGCGTTTTCTCCTTTCTACACCATGCTCTCTTTCTCCTTTTTCCTGTTCCTTTTTTTCTTTTCCAGGAATATTTACGGCGACTTGAATTGATGTCATAGAACTGCCGTGCTATTGATTATCGCATCAGGGACTTCTACAATAAAACTTACTAAGTGTTTGTATAGTTTTACTGATTTTTTTAATAAATTAATTTGTTGATCGTAGTACTGTATTTCTGAACTGCTCTTTATTCAGATTCACATTACAGAAACGTTACCTTATTTTATTAAACTAGTCTGTTTTTTTTGTAAGCTTATTCACCTCCAAATGATAACTTTCATTACTGTTCGAAAGATTCACTGTGAAGTATAAATTTAAGTTTGTATATTGGAAGTGTTAAAATTGTCGAGCAACATAATAAAATTTCAAATATTTAGCTGTACTCTTTCCTACTTACAATTAGTTCTCAAAATTCCTACAAAAGTTTGATCAAGATGCTTGTAAAATATAATTCAAATTCGTTATCACTGCATATTTAAATACATAATTGTACTGTTATAATGGGAAAAGTAATAAGCTAACACTGAAGCCTCAACAATTATTTTTCTGAACATGTTACAAAACTAGTTCGTTCTCAGGGATGTAGACTGAAGGACTAGTAATTTACAAAAGTGCGTATTACTTGTGAAAATGTTACATATGTCACATTCTCAAGAGTTTAGGCCTTTGAAGCCTGACGTAAAAATAATAAAAATTAGAATATCGAAATATATGAATGTATTGCTGAAAATTCACGATTTTAAATATTACAATAGTCATAAATTTTTGCATGGTTCCGGAGTGCACATTTTGAGAAATATTTAACTTCGATTTGCATCCATGTTTCAGCAGAGTAAAAAAAAATGTCTGTGAAAAATAACTCACTCTTATGTTACAGCAGAATTCTCTTGTAAAAATACTTTTTCCATATCCCACTACTATTACTACATATAGCAAGTCTTGCATTTGGATTTGTAACCATGCGTTTCAAGTATGGAAGTTCGTATGAAACAAATGTGCCAATGGAAAATATCACGTCTCGCATAAGAAATACTTGAGAAGTATTACAAATTATCATTATTTACTGGTACATTACCAGCGAAGGTAGTTCAAAGCATCATCTGATGTCTCTACAGTGCCTCTCGCCGGGATGACGTAGGGTTCGAGTCCCGGTGGAGGTAGGATTTTCGACACTAGCTAGGTCAAGTTCAGCCGCTGTCTGAAGGAGAATTCTAGCGACCGGATGCTTTTATCTGCACCTATCCGTGCTTTCTCCGTTCAATACCAGGTGAATGCCGGAGTAGTACCATAACAATCAGGGTAGGGACCGCGCACGATCTTTCCTTCGTTTTCCTTGTCCTATCCTCGCCCCTTACACACACTTACACTACCACAGAAATCGGGAGTCCAGTCGGGAGCTTACAGCTTGTACCGGGTGGTGTGGTGCCCGACTGGGGCCGGTGCCCGACTGGGGCCGGTGCCCGACTGGGGCCGGTGCCCGACTGGGGCCGGTGCCCGACTGGGGTCGGTGCCCGACTGTGGCGGTGCCCGACTGGTGGGAGACCTTGATTGAGACCTTTGAGGACTTCAAAGTAAACGAAAGACTGGAGCGACATGAATCAACATGGCTGCCACCTCGCGTATTGACAATGATTCCAAGAGAATAAACTTGTAACAATCATTGTGCATCCCAATTGGAAATGCATTCCAATCATCTAGCTCTAAACCTACTTGAAAACAGCCAAGAAATTTCTCGACTGAATAGAATTTCCACTCTTGATCTCGGCCTCTGTTTTAATAACTAATATTTTTCTATGCTTTTTGTTTTGCTCTAACATTTTCATATTTTCAAAGCATTTTATTCGTGTTTTTATTATAGATTTGAAAAGGACCCCAAGAAAATTGCCATTGGGTAATTTTCTTCCTTTTTATTTCATTTGTTATTATTACTCATTTGTTATAGTATTTACTTATTATTTAAAATTTGAAATAAATTGTAGATATTCTTGGAATAAAAAATAAATTGTGCTAAAAAAAATACGCAATTCGCACGAAAGTCTTTGGCTTACTCTTTCAAAACGCCGAACTTGGCTCCTATCGACACCTCGTTCTTCAACATTTCATTTGTACACCAAGACTCGCTTTTCTGCACTATTTACGAAAATAATTATTACTGCATATAATGTATATTTTTAGTGTTTACTTGTACTATCATTCTTTGATGTATGAGTGAGTGACGACTGAACTACAATAATACTCAAAAAATTACAATGTACGTTTCGACTACCATTCAGGGGGTGCAAACTGAAAGTCTACGCGCACTTCTCTTGGATTTTTGCACTTTTATGAAAACGCTTAAGACTCATCCAGCCCTACGCAAGGCCACGCTCGCCACGTGCAGTGGAAATTGTAGGTATTCATAGTAAGCAAGTTAGGCTAGTGAAATCGTCCCTGAAACGCAGATTCTTTGTGTAACGCATTACAAAAGTTCCTATGAGCTATTAAAATACATATTTATTTCGCTGAAGAAATAATTGTTTACAAATTGTTATTATCTCAATTGCCCTACAAATATGTGTACTGAAAGCAAATTTATGAAGTAAAAAGTGACATTTTAAAGTATTCATATTTAAGACGACTTTGCACTTGGAGACGTATTTGAACGTTTTAAAACTGATGAAAACTTAAAATGATTGGTATATTATTTCAAATAAAATATTTCGCCTAAACGTTCTAATCCATCTTAGCAATTATAAAATTCTTATGAAAATGCTACATGATAGAACAAATCAATAAGTCCAATATTATTAATACTTCAGGAGAGAATTTTAACGTTGGTGTGAAACTCGTTTCATATGAACTGACCCTGTATTTCCAATCTGATAAGAGTATTGTAATGCTTGTGTCTGAAATATGCAAGGCTTACAAATCAGTTCGGTTTTGTTCAGACTTTATTTCTCGTACTCTTCATATAATATAGCGCATTGCAACTTCAACGCATTTTGTACCCTTTTCCTTTACTCGTACTAGACATCGTAAATTGATATTTCTAGGATTAACTTGAAAATGCAAAAGCATTTACATGCTCAACGTTAAACTTAATTTTCATCAAAATCGTAAGAATATCCTTTTAAAGTGTATAGAACTGACGAGAAGAAAAACGCCGTAAAAATCAGTCCCCCAATCGTCATACATAGAGTTCCGGAATCTGATACGAAACCTGAGTCTCGTCTGATTCCCACGCATCGATTGACCGTTCCCCATAGCAACCGTGCAACCTCTCTGACAACCGAATCAACAACGTCGCGGCAACCCTTCTCCGAGAGCGAAGGCAGCGCTTGGGGTCTACGAGCCACCGCCGGTGCGAAGGCCACCGCATTAAAGTAAGAAAAAGAAACGAAGGAGGAAGAAGAGGTGTGATGTCGGAAGAAGAAGCGACGGCGGCGGCGGAGGAAGAGGCGGGCGAAGCGGAGGAATCTGCGGAGCCGCAAGGGCAGGAGGCGGAGGCGGAGGCGGGCGAGGCGCCACCCGAAGGCGGAGAGACCGCAGGCGAGGGCGAGGCAGACGAGGCTCCTCCGGAAGGAGACGAGGTAGCAGAAGATGAGGGCGGTGAGGAGACAGGAGTCGGAGAGGAAGACGAAGGTAACGCTCTGCAAATGCTCGCTTAATGCTTGTGCCTCAGATATCGGGTAGCCAGGCACGTAATGCACCATTGATTAATGATTTAGGGCTAACTGTAACTGTAACTGTTCTGTAAACTGCTAAGGTCATTATTCCCATAAGGGTAGTGTGTGTTATTGCGGAAGGTGGCGGTTCCCCTGCTTGATGGCGAAATCCTTGTAGGATGAAGTAATTACCTACACAGAGCAGCAAGATTTATCCACTTTTTTGTTACCAGGATTGGTTTCGATCGAAAGCTCGCAGTTTTCCGGCGTACGATGTAGCAAAATAAGTCGAGGAAATAACAAGGAAAGAAATGCGTGGTACAAAACGAATAGGGCGGGTGTTCCTAGGAATTTAGCAATTGCAGCATTCTCTGTCTTCGAAATTCGGAATATGTTATGTTAAGTATGCAACATCATAGAAGAGAAGTGATGTCGGCTTATCACTATACGAAACGTTAAAAGGCCACTTGTTGCCTAATTTTACCTTGTGAAAAATTATTTTCGAAATAAGTATGGTAAGACATTTTATTATACTAAGAGTTTGGAGAGTATTATGAAAGATGACCGTAAGGTCAAGTTTTGACAACCAATTGTGTATTGTTTGTCAAGCTGTGAAAGTTACCATGTGCAATACGTACAGCATTGTGTCCCCTTTGTAAAATTCCAGTGTTTTATAATTCTTGTTTGAAGATGATATAATTGACTATGCATTTTGTGAAATATATTAGTAGTTATTAGGGGGCCATTGATTGTCGAAACACTAGTTTTCAAATTACACTTATCTTGAAACGGATCTCAATTAGGGGTCATCCAAAATGGGGATGCTAACATATTCCCATATGTAACAAACTAAATTATCGGTAAAAAGTGTTTGAAAAATATTTCGATGTTAAGTAGAACTTAGACTCAGATGTTATGTAGAAAACAGAAATAGCGGTTTTTGTGTTTACAAAAATATTGACTTCGATGCAAAAGTACCAGTGAAAATGCGCAATGGCCCCGTTTTGGACAACTGGTTGGCTAAAAGGGGGATCTCACATTAAAATGATTGAAGACATTTATTACAAAACATTTAAAAAGCCAATAATTAAATTAAATAAACTATGGCAAGTACTAAACATAGGAATAAACATCTTGTAATTTTATAAATTTGTTTTTTATTGACTTTCTAGCTTGTACAGGAACAAAATATGGCCGAAATCACGCAAAAAGTCACAAATAAACGTGCCATCCCTTCTTCGGCATTGGGCCATGCTTCATGTGCCCAGCTTTTGACCCCCTTGGAATTTGTCTAAAGCTCGTTGCAGAAGATACAGGCATCTTCAGCCTTCTCGGGGGCGTCCCGTTTTGGGCCAATTCAATGTCCCCTTTTGAGCAGGCCATGATGACAGCTAGCGAACATGGCGTCTTTTTAC